CGACCGTTGCTCCACCATATTCATCGGCGGGAAGGAGAAGGTGCTCGACGAGGAGATGAAGGAGGCGTTCAACAACGCCTATCTCGAGCTTGGCGGCCTTGGTGAACGCGTGCTCGGCTTCTGCGACTACATACTGCCGTCCGACAAATTCCCGATCGGCTTCAAGTTCAACTGCGACGACCCGAACTTCCCGGTAGACGGACTCCGCTTTGTGGGCCTGATGTCTATGATCGACCCGCCCAGGGCTGCGGTGCCCGACGCGGTCGCCAAGTGCCGTTCCGCCGGCATCAAGGTCATCATGGTAACCGGTGACCATCCGATCACTGCCAAAGCCATTGCCAAATCTGTCGGCATCATCTCCGAAGGTCTGTTCCTCCCGATTACTCTCTCAGAAAACGGACGTGTCTTATATAGCGAATAAGTAGTGATAGCGATAGTAGTAGTAATAGCTGATATCTTCGATATCTTGTACCGATACTTTGCGATATTTTCCACCCCTGAAAATTTAGAGTAGGGTTAAGATTAGGATTTTTGGTTGGAAGGGAAAAGAAAATGAAAATGTTGTTTGCGATTCTCAGGTAACGAGACCGTCGAGGACATTGCTCAACGGTTGAATATCCCCGTATCCGAAGTCAATCCTCGCGAGGCCAAAGCCGCCGTCATCCACGGAACCGAACTCAGGGAACTGAACTCCGACCAACTGGACGAGATCCTCAGGTACCACACCGAAATTGTGTTCGCCCGTACCTCGCCTCAGCAGAAGCTCATCATCGTCGAAGGCTGCCAGCGAATGGGTGCTATCGTCGCTGTCACCGGTACGTCAAATTAATCGATCGATAACCGATTTCATAAATTGATCATCAATCTCACTGATCCTCCTTCTAAACCTCCTTTAGAATAATCGAGTGATAAATCGATCCCTTTTCTTCCTTCTCTCCTTGTCTATTATATAGAAATATTCGAGAAAAACGGGACATTACCCCCCGTTGTTCGGTCTCGTTCGTTCCAGGCGACGGCGTGAACGACTCCCCCGCGTTGAAGAAGGCCGACATAGGCGTAGCAATGGGTATCGCTGGCTCCGACGTGTCGAAGCAGGCGGCCGACATGATTCTGCTCGACGACAACTTCGCCTCGATCGTGACCGGTGTCGAGGAGGGCCGGTTGATCTTCGACAACCTGAAAAAGTCCATCGCGTACACCCTCACCTCGAACATCCCCGAGATCTCACCCTTCCTGGCGTTCATCCTATGCGACATCCCTCTGCCCCTCGGCACCGTCACCATTCTCTGCATCGATCTGGGAACGGACATGGTGAGTAACACGTTGCTTCGCCTTCCGTTTTCTTCGACCTCTCGTCTCGATCGCGCCCCATCGATCGATCATCCCCCTCCCTTCAGAGGGGGCCGAGGCGCGGTGTCGAAATTCCAATTCGAATTCGTCCTCGACGACACTCCTCCACGAAAATAGGAGGAGGAGGAGGAGGAGTTTTTTCGATCGGGATCTTTCGAGACGAGATGTATTCGCATCTCGAACGAGGATAATTTCAAGATTTTCAGCACGCGTGTTGTTCGTACGGGGCTGGATACGAACGGATATTGTTCGATTATTGTAATTATTGTCGTTGTTTAAAACGGAATGATTGCCAGGTGCCGGCTATTTCGTTGGCGTACGAGCATGCCGAGTCGGATATAATGAAGAGAAGGCCTCGTGATCCGTACCGTGACAACCTCGTCAACGAAAGGTTTCTCTTTCCATTCCCGAGGAAAAGATACAGCTTTTCGGAGCACAATTGTTGTTGTTTAGATAGAGCTCCCGGGTAATCGCAGTATCGCCAGATCGACCCGTAGGAGGCACGATTGGAAGCTAGTCTCATCACGAACTGTTTTTTTTTTTTGTTTTAATTTAATTTAGGTGGCCAATTTCGCGTTTCCTCTGCGGAAGAGATCGGGAGGAATTTTAAAGGAGATCATTTTTTTTCTTTTTACATCGAATCTTATCGACGCGAGGATCCTCCTTCTGATCGAGATTCGTTTCTCCCTATTTCTCTGTTTAATCTTGGAAAAAATTGTTTTTCTAGAGTATATGTACAAATATATATATATATATATATATATTTTTATAAACGATCTCGTTCGGATCTCGAATTAGAATGAGAATACTCGTGATTTCAGGTGTAATTACATTTTTTCCAGCTCATTTTTCACGAGGTTTTATATATATATAACAAATGTCTAAAAAAAGAAGAGAATTGGACGGAATTTGGAAGGATCGTCGAAACGATGATCGAACGAAAAAAACCGCCTCCACACGAATCCCTTCATCCCTCGTACACCATCCCGCCTCGTTGCTCCTATCGATTTAGTTCTCTCAGTTTTGATTTTTTGCTTACCTTTTCTGCGTTTCTCATCACATGTTGCTCACTGAGTCGCAAGAATGCTGATTGAATTTCAAATGCACGACACAACACAAGAATTTATCTTATTTTACATTTTCGCCAATTGTATAAAAAATTCTTTC